TGTCTTTTACCAATTACAGATATTTGCTTATAAAAACTGTAATGTTTATAAACACTTATAGTAATATTAAATGTTGATTGATAAATCACAGAAGGAATTTTTCTAGTGTGAGTTCAAAGTTATTGATCGAAGAGCTTCTATATTCTGAAATTTATTTGAAAAAAAATGTAGTGAATTTTCTTTTTTTTTGTATATTGCTGACGCATCTAGAACACTGAAGAACTTTGTCAAATCTACCAGTTTCGATCATGAGGAAAATAAAAAGACCTTCTCCTCTGAAGTTTCGTAAAATGTTGAAGTTCATTGTTTTTGCTTTGATTGCGATGTAATTCTCTAAAATTTATAGATGGATATGAGTATTCATCTCCTTTTTATGCATACTCTGACTATTGTTAGTTAGAGTAGTATCAATTGAACTAATGACTGTATGTAGTATACTGTATGTAGTATCCTTGCAATGAGAAATCCATAAATTTATTTTCTTCGTTTTTCTTGTTTTTCGTCTTTTAAATGCATAGGAAAAGAAATTTTCTTTTGCATGGATAATATGTATAGTTGAATATTCTTATTTCTCCTCTTTTACAAGGGAAAAAAAGCAGATTCTTGAATTTTTAGATTTTGAATGTTCAAATCGTCAATGGCAGAATTTCGACTTCATTTTTTTTTCGCATGTAGATCTCATGGTTTATAGTGTCCTTAAATTTTTAATTCAAACAGAGGTTTTCTTTTGAAGATACTGGATTTGCAAGAAATACTCATATTTCACTTTGTTGGATTTTGAGAGTTCAAAACTCAAAACAAATTCACTAGTTCTTCTTTATACTATTATTAAGAAAACGAGCTCTATGCTTATATTCAGTCGATCTTTAGGAAAAATTAAGATGTTTTAATTCTCTGTTGAATGGGATGCAAACATATGAGAAACAATCATTTCTTGCCTTTCTTTACATAAGGATATGGTTCATGTCACGTACCATTAAATCTGGACAATAGGATGTGATGTGGATGAAGAGAATATCCACATTCAAATCAGAAAAAGTAAATTTTATTCGTACAGATCAACATATATCCAACGGACTTTCTTTGTCAGAAAAATGACTCAACAGTTTTTTTTCATACAATATAATCACAAACAGTATGCATTCATACTAATAAAAGACATATCGTATTTTTACACTTTGACATGTTAAATGTCTTTTTTTTGTAGGAAATCGAAGTACTATTTTTTTTTCGATAAGATCCAGTCATGTCAAAGTAGTCCAGTCTCGGTCATTGATTTATTTTTCAACATATTTTTTAGACTAAATTTTACTACAGTACGATACGTTTTATTTTAGTACTCTGACTGAGCCGAATGCCAGAAGTCAAACTTATCGATGATAGAACATATTTCATATTGTTTCGTGTTTTTTTTCTCGAAATGAAAGTTTTTGAAACAGTCATTCTCATTGATATCACTCAGCTACTTTCTTACGGTGAAAATAAGAAATTCTTGAACAGTCGTTCGATTTTAATGATCTTTTTAATATTATACTAATCATACTTCGTACATAGATTCTAACGTTCTTTTAACATACAGAGCAGAAATTTTCTCATTGTCATTGTGATGCACATTAAAATTGTATGAATCTCACATGTGGGCAAACACAATTTGAATATTAGTTTTTTATGAATCTTGGATATCAATGGAAGAAGATGTCTTTTTATTATACCATATATATTCCAAATGAGTTTAATATAAATCAACGAACACATTAACAAGCTTATGAGTGATGATAAATTCATTCTGTCAGTCTTGCTGAGATACGGTCACGATTACATTTCACACACTGAAAAAACGTGAATATAGTAGTACTTGTCTAATACTACTTCGAAATAAATAGCAACTTCCATTATCACATATGGCATCAGTATTCAGAAATAAAACTATTTTCATTCAAATAATAACTGTTCTATCGAAATAGAAAAAAAAACCCAAAGGTTAATTCTATTTTAAAAATTGATTTGAATTAGAATTGAAACTGTGTAGCAGTATTTGACACGAGTAAAGTTCATAACTGCAAGTAGACAATTTTTAAAATATTGTAATAGCAAATCAATAAAAGCTTGCACGGGTTTCATTCCTAAATATATAGATAAATATTTTTCTGAGTATAATGAATATTTTGTTTATATAAAGGGAATTTTCTAACGACCACTTTTAAACCATGTAAGTATCGATGGAAAGAACACTATAAAAAATGCAAAAGAGATGAAAATAATGGCATTATATATGTAACTAATATCATGAAAAATATGAATCATATGTAATTAATAAAAACCTAAAATAATTTAATGTAATACACTGTAAAAATTAACTGAATAATTGTAATCACATAGTAATTCATTTCCAAGTAACATTTCTTTTTCTTTGTATAGTTTGCGATCAACAGTTAAATATTTGAAAATTGTGATTAGAAAGATCAAAAATTTCTTTTATATTAACAAAATACGTATTATACTCAGAAAAAACTTATCTCTCAATACATATGACATAAAAATCTCAAAATATCTATATATTTTAGTACTGTCATTGAATTCATAATGCGTACTTCAATACACAATTATATTCGAACTACAATTATTTTACTTGAACAACTCGTAAATGATGGACAGTATATTGGGGGAACAAGCAGAAACTGTTGTTCTATTGTTGTTTGTAACAATATTGAATTTATTCTTCATTTTTTTTTGCTCACATTATCAGAAAGTAAGTCTTATGCATAATAAAAAAGCTGTTAGCGCAATCCCTTGCGGGATTAAAAATGTGAAACACGATGGATCTGCTGTTACTAATTAAATGGAAATCGTTTTGTTCTATTTCTTTGCAATACATTTGTAGCTAACCGTTTATCTGATGCTTTAGAAGTACAGTTTCGCTGTCACGGTCTGTGATGGGTCCAGACCCTGTCTGCCACGATCTGTGATGGGTACAGAGCTCTGTCTGTCACGGTCTGTGATGGGTCTAAAGCCTGTCGGTCACGGTCTGTGATGGGTATAGAGCCCTGTCTGTCATGGTCTGTAATGAGTCTAAAGCCTGTCTGTCACGGTCTGTGATGGGTCCAGATCCTGTCTGTCACGGTCTGTGATGGGTCTAGATCCTGTCTGTCACGGTCTGTGATGGGTCCAGAGCCCTGTCTGTCACGGTCTGTGATGGGTCCAGAGCCTGTCTGTCACGGTCTGTGATGGGTCTAAAGCCTGTCTGTCACGGTCTGTGATGGGTCTAAAGCATGTCTGTCACGGTCTGTGATGGGTCCAAAGCATGTCTGTCACGGTCTGTGATGGGTCCAAAGCCTGTCTGTCA